CTACGAATATTTATGCAATTTTTTATTTTCATAAACACAACCAAGCGAATGAAATCTAAACGGTTTACTTTATTCCCTAAATATTGAAAAAACATTTTCGCACATTATATGCGCTTTGTGCGTTTCTATACCTTCGAATTTTTACAAATACAAAATCGCCTGATCATTCTATTCTTTCAAAAAAATGGCAAAACTTACGTTTGCGATGCGACATTATAATTTATGTTTTACAAGTAAATTTAAGAAATTTCGAACCAGCTGATCATCCTGTTTTTCGAAAATTCTAAAATTCTAAGAATTATGTTTGCAATAGAAGACTACAACCTGTAGTTTGCTAATAATTGATTAATATTATTCATTGCTAAATTATCGTTGCAGAAGCAACGCGCGATCCTTGTGATATCAAACTTTCCAAGAAATAACATTTATTCCACGTCTTCCGCGTACTTCTACGTAAAAATATTCCTTGCTCGACTTCTACCACAATTTCTCCCCTTCCCCTTTCAGCTTATAGAACGATCTTGATACGAAACGCATACGGAAACCGTTCCCAAGAAAATCCAGCCCGTTCCTATTAGATGGAGCGCTGCTAACGCGGAATAAACTTGCTGAGAAGAGCTTCAGCCATCTGTCTGCTCGGTTGATCGGTCAACGTACTCTTCGACAATACTTGCTGCTTATTCGATAGACGCTGCGTACACAGTGCACACGTACCAGATAGAATCTGATCCTAACGACGCCGCCGATTCCCGTCTGTTCTGTTCTAAGAATTGTTTCACAGACACGTGAATAACGTTTCCAGCCGTCGAATCAGCCGCTGCTTCGGATAAAACGTTATTCGAGGAACGTTGCGCCGATTCTTTCGTTCAAGAGGAAATCGTTCGATGCTTCTCTACTGGGAGATCGATGGCGCGAAGGTGGACTTGCGGTTAGGTTTCAAGTTAAATCTTGGAATAGGTTGGGTTTGGAAGAGCAAGCGAGAGATTAAGTGGCAGATGTGTTTATATCCGTTTTATTACAGTTGTGGTATCTATTCTGGTTTTATTAGAATCCTGCCACTTATTTTAATTTTCTTATAGAGAATTGCGCAATCAGAATGTTTTTATTATTGTTTGCCTTTGTAGCTTCAATTTGCGGTTATCGTATCTTGTAAGCAACTTTTAGGACAGCGGAGGATCGTATCGCTGCTCGGTATCGATAGTGGCGCGACTCGAAAACTTTCAAATTTGCTTTTATTAAATACAAGGTCTACACAACTTGAAAGGTGTGTAGATTTTACAAAAGCTTCTTAGATGTGATACGTATTTTAATTGTATCAAAATTGTTGTTTTATTCCGGTTTTATTAAAGTTGTGATATTTATTTAAATTCGATTCAGATTCGAGAAGGGTTGGGGTAGTTTAATTTACTGATATTCAAAATTAACGATGAATTGTTGCATTCTGGTGTATGTATGCTTTCCTAACTGCGATTAGTGAATCACGATCATTATCGATAACGGAATAATCCACGTGATAATCTATTTCCTATTGTTCTTGCAATGTAGATTCTTACACACGTCATAACGCACGCTACACCTTATAACCCCGCGTCGTGTACTTCTTTATTTGATTAATCGATTCTGCAACAGCTGTCGTGATAAACATCGGAGTATTTCAAATTATATACAATGTGCACGTGCATGATATATCTCACCTTGCTGTAGGCTGATAGTTTGCTTCGGAAACCACTTCATTTTAACTGCTTTTCCACTTAAATTCTTGATTTCCTATTACTATTTCGTATTCTACATACTCATTGTATCTATTACTTTTTCATATTGTAGTCTTCTCAGTTTTTATATGTTTTATATTCCAAATTTTATAATTTATAGTACAATTCACTCATTTTGGAATCTAATTATTTAACAAATTTTTTGTATCTTCATTTTACCTTGTAGTTTCATATATTGATACATGAAAGTATTTTAAGCGTAGAAAAAGATTTTCTGTTCCTAGATTCTCGTTCTGTGTGTCTTTGTGAGCCAGATTCAATGTCTCGACATTTTTCATTATATCAATAGAATCGTTAAAGATAGTTAACTCTTTCTTAAATTCTCAAGTTCTATGCAACACGCAGTGATTACAGACGTCTGACCATATCGGTGTATATCCATTTCTACTTATTTAGTCGACGCAGCACTGGCCGTATATGTACAGGTCATACTACTGCAAGCCTGGAGAATTACTTTCCAATATTTTCAGTGACAAATTTTTGTAAATTCTGAGAAAATTGTTCTCCTTATTAATTGTTAATAATAGAAATGCATTTTTTAAAATGGTTCCACGAAGGAAACACGATATATTAAAATTTAGCAACAATATTATGCACGTGCGTTTACCAATACCATTTTTATCATTATTATTAATACAGCAGAGAACAAATACATTTGTCATCTAACTAATTAATTACTTGTGAAAGTTGGGATTAAATGACACTAGACTCGACGCGTTACAACATAATACAGCATACTCAATAACGTATTTGAAATAAAGCAATAGAGTATTGAATTTAAAGCAGAGAATATTTTTCTACATTTGATATTTTCATTCATTGCAGAACCATTCTTTTCCTGCTTAACATCGTCAATTGTAACAACATTCCTCAATGACAAGAAAATAATGAATCCATTGAAATAAATTAGTCCGCGTGCAGCAGATAAAAACTACTGTGTGAGCAGATAATTAGAAGCATAATTGTCAGCGGGGAAGAAACACGCGGTGCATTAAGCTGCAGTTAGTATGCTTCTCGACAACAGTGCCCTCGTTTTAGTATCACTTGCTTCATTATGCAGCAGTTCGTTAATTAAAATCCAACTCGACGTTGAAAATTTTTTTCGAGCACTTCTTCAATTTCCTTCCGTTTCTAAAGCGAGACTGCTATCCTCCTTTGCATCGTTTCTTTTTCTCTTCGCGTCCTTAGCCGTGAAAATGATTCTTTGCACGGTTGACGAGATACATACATGCATCGAGGTCTGTGCATCGGTATTGCACGGTAATTGATTACGTTGCGTTTCTAAATCCGGGTTAACGATAGCTTTATCGTCAAATAATGTTAAAACCGGAGGAAAATTGGCACAACTTCTGTTTAGAAACGGTGTCTTGATTTTACAAGATTTATAAACATGATTAACAGCTTCTTTTATTCTTGTATAAGTAATTTTTTAAGCAATAGAGTTTCTAATTTACAATTCCTATCGTTGGCTGAATAGAGTAGTTTGCATTAGATTTAAGTTGGATTACTTAAGTTTACTTAAGTTTTAATTGCAATTATTTTTTGTTTTACGCGACGAAATTTGCCAGTAAGATTTATGGATATTCTACAATTAAAATGAAGTATTCTAAAAGTAAATAACTTCAAATTAGAAAATTTCACGTATAACTTTCAGTATATATATACAGTGTCTCGTAGCATCGGGGAACCACGTCTGCAGCAGATCCTGCGCATGAGACAAATAAAATAGTTCATACGATACCCTATTTGATCTTGCTTTCGAGTTATAGTAAGTTTGTTTCTTTAACTTTAAAACTGTATCTCTATACGTTCACAAGATGTGTTCAAAATGACCTGCTCGTATACGAACACAAGACTGGAGACGTCTTATCGTTGACCGAACTAAAATACAGAACTAAAATGCAAGGTTCGACGTGAAATATTGAATATTTTTTATTATAGGTGCGTGAAATTAGTTCAATTACTACCATCTTTCGATAGAATTATTCCAACATAAAACTCGTAAGAACTCGGGAACAAGCTTAAACAGGGAACATATTCGTACGAGCTTTTTTATTGTTCTCACGTCATGTACTGTATTTTTGTCTTTTCTTTTTATTAATATACACGCATTCTATGCAATTTGTCTTTTGGTATACTCAGGATATTCTGCATATTAAATTTTTTTATGGGAGCCCGCCGTTGATAACTCAACTAATTAACGTTGACTTTATTAAAGCGTAAATTATCGTAAGGGTCAGGAGGTCAACACATTCAGATGACAGGCAAAAGTAAGTAAATTTTAATAAGTGACACAAATCTCTATCTAAATTCTATTTCTTTAATTATTTTCGTACAGAAACATGTACAGTCCCGTTTATAATGTCGTAGTCTGACACCTACGAGTTGATCAAACTTGGAAAAATCCAAACCCTAACTTTCTCCAATTCAAAGCTTTCGTCCATTATCACCAACACAAATATTGTTCATATGTATCACTTTCATCTTAAACTAACAACTAGAAACATTTTATAACTTTTTCACGTAAAATCCTCTTCGTATAGTCCATCTCGATCTCTGACCTTAAATGTTATACTTGCAGAAAGAGAAATCGGTATTTATAGTATATGTAGCGTTTTGGAATTGAGTTTGAAAAATTATACGTGTGGAAGAATTTTCGAGATAATTTACTGGACGTTGACGAGTCTGAGGAACTTTTACTCCTCGCGTTTTTTCTCATTTTCTTACTTGCAGATGATCTTCGAAATAATTTACCTACATAGTTACATTGTTTGTTCGCGATTAGTTGTAGAACAAGTAGAAAGTAAAGAGTCGTTTATAAGACAGGCAAGAGACCGGATGTATTCCTTGTACAATGGAATGAATTATCAATGTACTTTAAAAGTTTTAAGTCCTCGTGAAAGTTTGCATGTACTTGTGTTACGTGTACAAATCAGCAGCATGATTTAGTAATAGCGTTAATGGAGGACGCTGTTTCTGCTTTTAAAAGTTGATAATCTCGAAAAGAGAATATAGAAATATTGTTTATAAAAAATGTATAAGAAGATTAACTTCTCTACGTGCGTATGCATATGTATAATGTAGATTAATATTAGTAATATTTTAGAACATTATGTTATAAAAGGGATTTTAAAATCTGAAGAAAAATATTTACGAACTCAATGAAAGTTAATATAAAATATTGCAAAATGTGCAGGTAAAAAGAATAGAAAAGAAAAGAATCTGTACCTTTATTGCGAAGATACGATGTCTGTTTGGGTAATGGACGATTCCACTTGGACTAGAATCAGTTTGCACTCCTTCTGAAACAAGAGATAGAAGTTACGTTAGTGTGATAAGATAATTGAATAAATATTTCTATATTACTGTATGCAATAAAAGAGAGAAAAATTATATAGTATAAATAATATTCTACGAAGTACTACGTAAGCAAAGTACGTATTATAATCGTTGTACTCTTAGGATGAGATTTTTAATCATCAATATTCTCCTCCTCGTTTAATATTTAATTTCTTCTTAATAAAATACAATGATTGCCAGCGAAATAATTAATAGCATATGATCATCGTGAGAAGCAATATTAAATATTTTTCGACGATAATTAAAATTTTCGTTATTTTTTACCCAAACAAACGATAAAACTTTTAAAAATGCTTCATGAAGGAAATTTCTTTTGCAGCATTATAATTGAGAACTATTCGTGAGTCTTCGTTCTAGAATCAATTAATATTTTCATCATTTCTATGGATAATAAAATTTCATATGTTTGAAAAATATATCATGTCGATTTATAGCTCAGTGGATGGCTAGAAATTTTTGAAAACCATTCGTTATTATCATATCGTAAAGCGTAGAGAATCAATATTACCCTTTCTAACACAAATCCCGATTTCTATGCAGATAATTCATAATTCTTCCTATGGTTACCGTTTCCCTTCGCAAGAATAGAAGTTACGACTACTTTTATGACTCGTTCAGAAATCTCGCGGTTAGTTGACGATCGAGTCATACTTTATAGCTCAGGTTAAACGAGAACAAAGTGTGAGCCTCGTAATAGATTATTTTTAACTTAAGCACGTAATCACGATGCTTTAAAAAAAATTCGCTATGATTTCATAATTTGCATATTCAATCAGACTATTGGTATAGGATCATTGGTACATAACATTTACGGTTTTCCGTTATTCGTGTCCATAATATGTCTATATTAGAACGTCGAAATTTCTTGGAACCTTCGTTGCGACTTGAATTACGAATTTATTTATTAATATTATTATGGTAAAATTATTATAATTTTGTAATATAGTATTAATGACATTAAGATATATTTAAATGGAAATAATCACCGAATAGCATGTGGAGGAAAATTTTATTAAATGAAATTTGTAGGATATACTTGAAGATCTCTATCAAGAAAAATAAGAAATAAAAAATTTGTTAAGATAAGAAATTTTGAAATAATTTACACATATATGTAATAAATTTGTTAAGTAGAATTTAGCTATATTTTAAGATTTTTATTCAGGAAAGAAGAAATAACAATTTTTGGAAGAAAATATTCCATATATAATAGAGGATTATAAATATTCGAATTAAGTAGAATTTACCAGAATTGATCAATCATCGTAAACGTAAAAAATCAATGCAAATTTTTTCACAATTACTAATAATAATAAATTTACAGTGCTGCATTTTTGGGGGTCTAAAAGTTACGAAATGAATAAAGTAGATATATGAAATAGTTGTTTACCTATTCGTATTACATCTCAGATATTGGTATAATTCTAATGTTAAGTTTTCCCTGAAGAATAAGATGAAATGAAAATTCGTAAAGAAACGACACTTATAAACAATGATAAAGGAAAGCAGAACGATACATTCTATCGCATAGAAGAGATATATGTAAATTGCGAATAAATCAAATTTTAAAGTAACTATTATTAAAGATTCATGTAAGGAAGTTATATAAGGCATCTATCAAATTTTAAATCAATCGACATTCACCAGGAAGCATCTTGATCTGGTTGATATTTGTAACGACTCCTTTCTCCGCATCATAAGATTGCAGATGATCCAATGGCTCATTGGATTCCATGTTATTAAAAATCGTGAACCTCGTTTGATACTTTCATTGCCGGGAAAGGTGTTCCGAAAGTAGTATGTTCGAACTCATCTAGTCACGTACGGAAGCTGTTTCAAATATCACATGTCAAAAGAGTGAAAAATATAGATATCAAAAGTACCTTCCACGATCATCTTTATATAACCGCAAATATCAGACTGTCGATAGAGTTATACTTCTTACAGAGAATTTTTCATCTAATAAAGATGCGAATTCTTGAATCTTTACAGCAAGGAAGAAGAAAACATATAATATGTTTTAGAAATATAATATGTATTAGCTTGTGTAAATTTCATTCGCACAAGTGTTAAAACAAGCATCAAAAATCCTTTATATAATATCTACAATAGCTACAACAACTAAATATTTTTCATATCATTAATTTTCAATGAACCGTGTTATTACCAGGTTCTATGAATTTGATTCTTTTTCGGATGGATTGAGTAAATTTTTATTCTGACACTTCCAAAATTTCTTTTTTAAGTTCCAAAATTTTTATTTCTATAACATTCGTTACGAGGTAGCACGTTAAGGGACGAGCGAACTTATTACACGATCCAATAAATGAAATAATGCTCTTATTTTTATGATGTAATAAAATGAATTATCTTAATAAGATTGTTAATGCTAAAAGACTTTTTGGCGCGAATCGATTAAAAATTAAGAAATCGTATAACGAAATGCAAATTTCTCCATATGTGGAAAAGACAAATGATTTACTATATTGGCTCGGAAGTTAGTCTCAACTCCTTTCATCATATATATATATTCATAAATTCTTATCTCATTGGAATTTACATTGCTGTTACCGCATATTGACATTTGCAACATCCGCTTTCTCCAACATGAAAGAGTAAACAATAATCTTGTCAACTTCATTACGTAAAGTAAAACTTCATTAAGTAAAACTGTGTATTTACACAAGAAAAACGTGTAAAATATATCACTTCATAATATTAGGTATGACACACATGAATTTTCGTTTTTCTTCGTAACATCGTGCATTTAATTTAAGTAATTTCTACGTTATTCAATGGACTTTCTCACCGATTATTTACATTTATTCAAGATTTATAAAAATGATCGTTCTTTAAATTAAAATATTCTTAGAATACAATAGAATAGAAAAGTAGAAACTGAGGATAGAATCTTTTCCTATGTTCTTCATTTCCAATTCCTGTTCAAATAATTTACTCGTTAAAATGTACATGTACATAGGCGGAATAGAATGAATTTTAATAAATTCATCTCGACAAGATTGAAATCTAAATTGCTTGAAACCTGACATATCTTCCATAGAACGATCCATTTCTCGTAGCTTCGATTTCTCAGGCTCGTTTAACAGTAATTCGAAATAAAACACGTCGAAAGCAAGTCCAATTAATATTGCATCGAATCGTCATTGTCGTGTCGAACAGGCTCGCAGAGACACGCTCTATGTTGCTCTGTTACGCTAGTATGCCTTATTATGTCTTTATCACGACTCGATCCTCCATGTTGCATTACTTCAGCCTGATTGCTTACTATCTGTAATCCGATTGCTTCGAGAGAACTTGCCCGTAAATCGAAACTCTTTGCATCGCTGCAACTGCTTCGTGGTAATCACATACGACGAACACGAGTCATAGATAAGCGTACGTAAGGTCTGAAGTAGATCAATGGAACACGAGCATGGTATTAACATAGTAGAAGCAGATTAAATCGATTGATTAAGACTAGAATCTCTAGATTGTTCAGAGTTTAGTAATACACGAGCCGATGGAGCGGAGCAGTTGGACGAAATTAATATTTCCTTTCCAACCTTTTTTCTATTTTTATTAATCCTCCAATTTCCAAGATCATTTATAAGCGTCATATTCTACTTGCTCTACAACGTACATTAATGATTACAAATATCTGTAAAGTTTGGTAGATGCGCGGCAATAGTCGATGCATTTCAGAGTTTGGTAACTCGCGACATGATAGATTGCTACATTTGGACGAGATTGATATTTTCTTTTCAACTTCCTTATTAACTCTCTAATATCTATGGCTATTTATAAATGTCATCTTTTTCTTATTCCGTGATATGCACCGCCTCTTCTAAATGCCGGCAAACTTTCGTAGATTTGTGGCAATAGAAACGTATGAATTTCGCAGTTTCGATATAGAATGCATGAATTTCACAGCTTGGTAACTTGTGAGCTAACAGATTGCTACATTTGCAAGAGATTAATATTTGCTTTTTAACTTGTTTATTAACTCTCTAATTTTCACAAGCATTTATAAATGTCATCTTTCATTTATTCTGTAACATGTTCTACCGCTTATACAATGTATCTGGACATTTTGATAGATTCGTGATAATAGTATGTGGTAATCGTATGAGAACTAATTGCGAATTAATGGCCGAAAGTAACGCATAGTTCGGAAAATTAAACAATTCGACGAACTATTTAAGCAATAAAATAGTACCTACCACAAGCTTCGTCCATTATGAATATCAATTTCCTTACTGTATATTAAATTCCATATATATTCTATTATATCGTATATCAGTTACGATTGTTACGATAACGAAGAATAAAATAATAGTAAAGTTGTGACTGAATTACGCTGTGTTGAAACAATTTTTTGCGCACTGGTATGAGCAAATTAATAGTTTATAATATTTCTGGTAATTAATATGCAGCTATATGTTTTATAAACACTGTTTAGTGAAATAAGAATATTCTGCGGGTATTTATACAAATTCGTATTTCAGAGCAGAGTCAGACGTTTTTTCTACTACCACATATTATAACGAGCACGGTACTTTGAATTTTTCATATATTTTTACATATTATGTGCATTCTACGCATTTCTGCATTGACCCTGCTGTGACCTTTCGGTCACATCTTTTATTCAATCCTACTACTTTGACATTGAAATACATCTCCAGTTTGAGCAATATGTGAAAAAAACGTGCCCTTAAAAGATTAAAAATATTTTGCTTGCTAAAACGAGAACAAATTTAAATAACAGTCCAAGGATCGCGTCAAAGTGAAAATTTCCCATAAATGCGTAAACACCTGCAGTCTATTGATAACAATGATCAGAGCTCTATATGTCGAAGTACAAATCTAATATACTGTAGAAAAATATATTTGTTTTCCTGGTGAAATCAATTAAAATAGCAAATATCAAAATAATTTTTTTCCA